CATTAATGCTGCTGCCGCCACGCTAGCTTAAGAGCCCAGTAAAAGGCTGGAGCTGTGTGGAATAATTATCAGTTTAAATTTTCCAAACAAAAGCGAGCAAATTCTTTTAATGGGGGGAACATGTGTGTGAATATTCTCGTTTTGGTGATCCTATTCAGCATTATAGCTTTCTCATTATTTCCTCGTCCTTCTCCTTTCTGGGTTCATCACCTATGTGATCGCTGTCAGTCAGGGATCCTGTACTGAATGGTGTGGTGTCACAAAGATACCTAGTCAATCAGCATGGGTTCTGTGATGACGTGGCTGAGAATAAATGAAGGCAATGTAAATGAAGAAATGAATATTTACACAAGTGGTTTTGCAGGGCTAGGAGAGAAATTGCTGGGAAAGGGAAAGGCATTTTTCAGAGCTCTGAAAATCTCAAAAGCTGTCAGTAGCTTTGCTTTGGTTCCGTAAAACATAACTCATGGCTGACTTATCTTGCATTTCCATTACAACAATGGGTCAACAAGGCAATGATTCATGCAAGCAGTGAAACATTGCAGTATATTAGCAGCCTGCAGCTGGGAAATTCCAACTCACATCGCTCCCCCATCAATGGACCATGCAAAAATCTCCCCTTTCCCCTCCCCAATGCCTCGCCTTTCTCCTCATTCAACCTTCTTGCCTGTACACTTCTTCTGTACACTGCCAGTTTCCATGGTGGATGTTTGAATGAGTACCTTTTCTGTCATATCACACCTTAAAGAACATATCACTACAGGATGGGGAGAAATTAATTTGGTCCTCATTTTACAGTGAACCAACCCAATCTGATGTTCCCCAAACTCGATATTTGGGTTGGACTGCAACTCCCAGCTGAATTGTACATTTCTTTGGATTTCGTCAAAGGGTGCACACAGAAATATGCATTTTATGTAATTGCAAAAGAAGTGCTCAAGATACACGTTTTCTTGGTGAATGCATTGAAGATTTGCATGCACACAGATTTACTGAGGACTAAGCATGCTGTGTGGTCACAGAACATTGAGTGTTGGGTTGGTGATGGTGGAGGGAGATAGAAAACTGAGATGGTGAAATGAAGTATAAAGAAAGCAGCATCTCTGGCTGGTTAGAACATTGAACCTGAGCAATGGTTACTCACCACAATACCTGTGTTCTATACCTGTTGCCAGAGGCCTCATGACTCAGAATCCCAGTTGTTGGGAATCACAATTGGGGATAGTTCTGTCGCTCTCAGGTCCTTTTGTGGGCTTCCCATACGAATTTGATCAGCCATTGAGAGCACTGGATGCTGGTCCAGAATGGGCCATTTTCCCAATCCAACAGGCTCATACATTTTAATGATTGCATTCTGCATTGCAACATTACCACACCATTGTGATGATGTGGACAGAAAAATAGAACAAACAAGTCATTTCCCCATCCATTCTTAAACTTGTAAATAATTCTAGAGGTTTAACTGCCTGGCCTGCAGGCATCAAGTCAGACACCATCCCATTGAGAAGGACTCTGAATGCCTTCTAGGACTTGCTGTTGTGTGAGATTTTCATTGCTTAATATTAACTGTGGCCTTAGCAAAAGGGATAATTAGCTACTTCAGAGCAAAGCAACTGCACTTTGCCATCGCCACTGCCATAATTTTAAATGGCAAAAGTAAGCTAATGGGAAACCTTTTGCTGAGTGGACAACTACTAGATCAGGGTAGCCAACCACTTTTTAGCAACGGTGCTGCATCTCTTGTGCTGAGGACCTAAAAGCTGCTATGGAAATTCCCAGTGTTGTTTGTATACTTTATTTGTTGCTGCCACTACCAAAAATCTTGAGCCTGGACAGGCGGCACTAACAAGTATTGGGTGTGGAGATCAGGTCTGTGGTCCAGAGGTTTTCTACCCCTGTACTTACAGAGAGAGATATATATAAATTTGATTGGCTTATAGTTTGTATATGTATCAGTTAAACATCTTGGAAGCTGGAGCTGCCTGGAGTTACCCAGTTCCACCACTCGTTCTGTCTCGTTTGCACATCACTCGCATTGCTTAAAAAGTAAAAATAAAACACACCTGCGTCCCATTGGTAAAGTGAAAAAGGTACTTTATTTCCAGTTGCTTCATATGCACAATGGCAGCTTTTGATTCTTCACTATATGACTGGAGCAACTTTCATGGCATCCTCACGCAAGAAAGAGGGAGAAGAGAGAGAGAGAATGAACATGAGGAAGGGGGAAAGCATTGATGTTTAGTGGGAAACGACAAAGTGTATTTCCCCTTACTTTCTGTTAGGGTTCTGTTAGGGTTGCTTATACCCAACCTGTGCTAAATGAGAGGATTTTTAAAAGAACAAAAAGAGATTCTGATCATTCATTTTCTAGTAAGTAAAGTGAAAAATTGCAAATACAAAGCAAACACCATGTTATGCCTAACAGAAAACACATTATTATTGTTTTGGTGCAATTAATTTTATTTCATGCCTTTTGTACATCTGTATAAATGATGGATCGGTTAAAAATATTTCAATTAAATAAAAATGCATAAGGAAATGCATAAAGAAACAAACAGGTTCACCACAAATCCAGCTTTTAATTAATACAATTCAAGGAAACGCAGGCCAGGTCTGGAGGCTCCATTTTCCTCCCTAGACGTATATGAATGGAGTTATGGTTTGGTGATTCCAGACAATTACGCTTTACACTCCCAAGTTTAGAGAATGCATTATGACTCATTAAAGGACCGTTGTCTGGCACCACGTTTTTTACTGTCCTTAAATTTTTAAAAGGAGAGATGCATGGTTCTGTTTTATGATTCTCAGAATGTTCTTCTTCCTCCCCTCCAGCACATGCCTCTTCCTTTAAGTAAGCTGTAAATACAACACTTGATCCTTGTCAACTTTGAAATTCTTATAGATTGCTGTGTTTCTGTTAGAAAGGCTGGCAGTGTGATTGCCTAACACCACTAAGAGATTGCTGTTTTTCTGGTCGTTTTCTATGGAGAAAAGCAGAACTGCCCCTAAGTTAAGAAGATAATTCAAACCAGGGGTCACCAACAAGGTCCTCTATAGATGTTGTGGATCACAATCCCCACCATTACTGATGCAATACTAGCTGGAGTTGTAGTCCAAAACATCTGGAAGGCACTCCATTGGTAACCCTGATCCAAGCTGTACAATAGCCATGGTTTTCAAAATAAGCATAAAAACATAAGAATAGTCCTGCTGGATCAGACCAAAGGTCCATCTAGTCTGGCATTCTGCTTTCCACAGTGATCCACCAGGTGCTTCTGAGAAGCCTACAAACAGGGCATGAGCACAATATCCCTATTCTGTTATTAATCAGCAGCTGGTATTTGGTACTGTTCAAAATGGAGGCTGCACAAAGTCAGCTCGATTTGTAGTCATCCTACATGTATTATTGAAGATGAAGTCCATGAATTTATAACTTCATATAGTCGCATAGGCCATTGGTAGCCAACATGGTGCCATCCAGGTGGTGTGAAACTATAGATCTCTTGACCCTGACCATTAGCCAGGTTGGCTGGCTGATGGGAAATGGGGTCCAACAACATTGGAGGGGCACTATCTTCTAAAGTATGGGACATGGGTGGCGCTGTGGGTTAAACCACTGAGCCTAGGACTTGCTGATCAGGTTGGCGGTTCAAATCCCCGCAACAGGGTGAGCTCCTGTTGCTCAGTCCCAGCTCCTGCCAACCTAGCAGTTCGAAAGCACGTCAAAGTGCAAGTAGATAAATAGGTACCACTCTGGCGGGAAAGTAAAAGGCGTTTCCGTGCGCTGCTCTGGTTCACCAGAAGCGGCTTAGTCATGCTGGCCACATGACCCGGAAGCTGTATGCCGGCTCCCTCAGCCAATAAAGCGAGATGAGCGCTGCAACCCCAGAGTCGGCCATGACTAGACCTAATGGTCAGGGGTCCCTTTAGCTATCTTCTAAAGTAGTGGATCATCCACACATCTTGTGGCAATAAATTCAATAAATTTATTTTGAGCACCATCGTGATGCTGATATGATAGAAGGGACGTGAACATGTTCTAGCTCTGGGATTCTCATTCCACATTGATCCATCTGCCAGAGGACTCCAGCACAATGTAGATGATTTGGAGGCATACTTTTAGGTGCATAGTCACTGCAGGCCCATTGGATCTCATCATTGTCCCATGTGAGGGTAGAGTGTAAGCTGGAGTACACTCCACAGGGCCAATCTGGTCTCCTCCAGATTTTGTGGACAGCAACTCCCAGAAGCCTCAGCCAGCATGGCCAACGGTCAGGGATACTGACAATGGGTTTTAATTCAACAACATCTGGAGGGCACCAGACTGGCTACTCCATCCTTACAGTATCTTCATCTGCAGTTTGCAACCCTAGGAGATTATATGGCCTAGACCAGGAATGGGGAACCTGTGGTTCTCCAGATGTTGGACTGTAACTTCCATCATCCCTGACTGTTGGCCATACTGGCTGGGGCTGATGGTAACTGGAATCTATAACAACATCTGGAGAGCCACAGGCTTCCTCATCTCTTATCTTATAATTTCCTGTGGCTGCACATTAGAGGTAAAGTTCATCAATGGTAGACAAGAGGCCTATCAAAGAGGTTCTTTGCAATCAGTGAGTGCCACATCAAGGATCCCTGATCTGAGAAAAACCATAGTTCCTTGATCACAGTTTGGAAACCATTTTCATAGATTAGTTCACAAAATTGAGTAGCTACCTGATTTAATATACCCACCAAACCAAGCCCTAGATGTGAATCCATTCACTTTGCTACTCTCCTGGTAACGGGGAGACTAACAAGGACAGTAGATTAACAACTATGGAAATGATGCAAGCACTGAGGAGAAAAGCTAGTACACCTTGTTGGGGAAATGTTAGGTTACTTGCTTGGTTGAAGCCCACAGCTGGTATCTTGCAGAAGGGTCTTTAGAAACCCAGAGCCAGCTCTATTTCCTTTTGTAGTGATTAATGGACTTTGCTTGTTTGATGTTTCTGAAGGTTTCAGACAACTGCGATGCCATCTTTGTTAATGGGAAGGAAATGAAAAGCAAAGTGGACACCATTGTGAACTTCACGTACCAGCATTTTACCACCCAGCTAGAAGTCACCGTCTGGGTTCCACGACTTCCTCTTCAAATAGAGATCTCCGACACAGAACTGAGTCAGATCAAAGGCTGGAGGATCCCTGTCACCTCCAACAAAAGGTACCAGCATCATGCCTTAAAAATGGCTCTTGAGAGCAACACAGCCAAGCCATGTAGTTCAGCACCCCCATTCAAGTAAATGGGGATTGCATGCTAGGAGAGGAATGGCTGACCACTGGTAAGCTGGACAAATGTTACTCTCTAGGCATCTCTGTCTGGCACTCAAGACTCTCCCTAGGTAGGGATGGATGGTTTCATTATAGTCTACTTCATCCCACTTCTACATGGGGATGAACTAATCTGTCCCATTCCGTTTCCATGCAGATTTTAAAGGAAAATCCCTGCCCCATGTTTGTTTAGCACTACAACTGTATGTGCTGATAAAATAACAAGGCAATATTGATGCCATTGAACCTACAATTACAGTGCAATGCTTTTTGGGTTGGTGTTTTACTGTTGTGCATGTGTACTCTGCAGTGGCAAAACACCACACAAATAATGCAACCAAACATGCAATCTCCTCCAACTTGGTTGATTGCAGAGAGGGCCTTTAAATAAATAAATAAATAAATAAAATAAAAATAAAATCAGTTCACACAAATGGCCATATGCAGATTGGTAATGACAGGGCATGTGAAACTCACAAATGATCTGAAGGAACTGGAAAAGGCAGTGAACAGTCAGTACACAGGGCCCTTCCCAACATAAGAGATAACAAGGGAAGATGTTTAAAGCATTAGTTCCATTTTTGAATCTTAGATGAAGAATGTGAGGAGTTTCAGAAGCACCCCTAAAATGTGAGTTGAGATTAAAACAGGCAAGGAGCATCTTTGTCCATCTGGCCCACTATTGTCTCCTGCAGGGATGAGGAGCCCATGGTCCATTCCAGCCACATCTTTAGGGTTACCGGTTCCCCATCCTTGTCTATTCCAATTGCAATAATTCTCCAGTATCACAGGAATGAGTCTTCCCCGTCACCAGCTGCTGATCCTTTTCTTTTAACTGGTGATGCTGAGGCTTGAAGCTGCATGTGAAGCGTGTGCTCTGCTACCGAGCCACGATTTCTCCTCCATGAGATGCTGGCCAAAAGAGTGAACCAACAGAACATGTTCCAAACGCGACAGGAACTTGAGAGTATTTTTAATGGTTATCATTGGCATTGGCAAAAAAAGAAAGAACAAGCCCATTCTTCTGCTGAGTTAAGTGCCTCATCCGGTTGCCTCCCTGTTCACCATATTGTTGGGAGTTTGCTTGCGCAAATGTCTGCTGAATCGTTCATGGCGATAGATCCATTTGAGGAATAAACCTGCCATCGCAGACGCGGCAGGTCACGCCTTCAGCAGCCATTAGCCCAGTGCGAACATTCTGCCTGTCAGCTCATTATGCCGTGTGCTAAAAATTTAACCCCCCAGGTGTCTAGTTCATATTTATTGGGCCAGCTGAAGTGAATTGAACGGCCCAAGTAGCTTCGCTGTTTGCAAGCTGGCAAGCCGTTCTCGCCAGCAGCTATTCAGATTACCGCAGAGCCACTGGGCACCTATTTAGCAATTCATTTCTTCTTCTTTTTTTAGGAAGGGGGTGGAATGGCAAAGCTGTTTGCTGTGAAAATTTGCAGCCGGTTGCCTGCACCATGGCCTGCCAGCCATTGTTTTTGGATGAGTGCGTGCAACAGCTCATGCTTCCAATAGAGCTGGCGAAAGTTTGTTTTTAAGCAACTTAATCGCATGGGTGACTTCAATGGGGGTGGCCATTTCTTCTTGTGGCAAGAATGCAGTGGAGGCCGATTTATTAGGGCAAATGGGACACATCCTCACCAACCTCTGCCTGCCCTGCCTGCCTTCTTATTTGCAATCAATCCAGGCAGTGGTGCTGCCTATAGGCTCTCTCCTCCTCAGTCTCTGGGTCCTTAGAATCACCAAGCTGTAGAGATGGAAGGGGCCAAAAGGACAATCTAGTTCACCCCTTGTAGGAATCACAGGTAGAGAATCAGGGACAAATGACCAGCCATCCTCTGTTTAAATCCTGAACTGAATTCAGATGATTCATGTGGATCCAGGCTTGAGCTGCGTTGTTTGGAGACAGTCCCAAGTCACCCCAGGTTGGGCAGGGCCACTGAGAGATCCAGGGCTTTCAGGGGGTGATGAGTCAGGTGGGAAGGCCCTAGTGGTCTGCTTTGCAAGTGTGTTCATAGCAGAGAATGCATTGGGGAAGCAGACCTCAGCAGGATTGAACCCTCTTCCTGCTGAGGGGAGGATTCTGTCATGAGGGGTGCAGGGCGCTCATTTTTAAGTGCTTTCCCCACAGGGCACAGCCTTAATTATCACAGCTGAAGGGCACATTCCACCCAGGGGAAGTGTCAGGAAGGGCACATCAGGGCCGAAATTGCAAGGGGTCTCTTGGAGACCATTCTGAGGACTAGATAGAGAGGTTTATGGGATATCATTTGACCCTTGATCCTGAGGTTCCCTACCTGTGATGTATAAGGCCCCAGGTTCAGTCTCTGGCACCTCCGGGGGGGACGGGGGGACCCTGCTTAAGACTTTGGGAAAATGCAGTCAGTGTACACCAGCCCCCTCCAACCTACTGCCCTCTAGATATTTTATGCTACAATTCCCATCAGCGAAGTGTTCTTTAGACAACACTGAGCTAGATTGATGAACAGTATGATTCCTGTGTTCATTGGAATGGGCCTCCAACCAGGTTCTCTCTCAGGGAGCAGCACTGAGATCCTTGGGCACTGTGCCATTGATAGCACCCATTGATTGGTCTGCCCGCTGCTTCCTTGAATGGGAAATTAATAAAAATGTAATAAGGAAGTGAGGATCTGGATCCCTTGTGAATATATCTGGGGAGATAATAAAAACCCATCTGGAGAAATATGGCTCATCATACTGATCCATAGATAGATGGGCAGCAGGAAGGGGGAGAGAGACTTTTATCCTTATCTGCAGTAGATGGGAGAATCATAATTTGATCTGGGTATGTGCCACTATCAATATGAGCGGCCCACTCTTCCAGATGGAAATCTGCTCTCCAGATAGGTGTGCTCTCATGACTAATGTACTGCATGGAACCCTTGAGCGGCACTCGGTTAATAGAAAAACCGGCTTGTGAAATGAGCAGTCGAAAAGCCCACAATCGCAGCAAATGAAAGGAATAAATATAAATTAAAGTCAAATAAGAGTGGGGAGAAGGGGAGGAAAGTCCAGGCAGGCAGAGACCGATGTTCTTAACAAGAACATTTATTTTGATTCATTATGCAGCTGGAAAATAATTATCCCCTTGTTGAAGTTCATGCATTACCTCTGCGGGTGGAGCGTTGGGTGGGAGGAAGTGATTTTTGTTCATTTCTTCTAAGGGCCGCTTAGTGAGTCTTTTGACGTATGTTGAAATGATGCCCTTTGGATCTCTTGTATGTAACGGAGCTAAAGAATGCCTGTGCGCCTTTCTCTTGTCACCTGCAAGCCCTCCTAACCATCAACCGAACTGCTGAAACATAATGGAATGCCTGCAAACATTCTGCAGCCACTCAAAGACTGAGAATGAGTCATTGGAAGTTGAAAATGAGGGTGGGGCAATTGGTGGTGGAAGGGCTCCAAAAATGAGGGATAACATGGGCTGAGAAGAATTTCTAACCATGTCCTCTCCTGACCATGAGGACCATGCTCTGTGGAGCAAAATAAATCCCCAAGGGTGGCTAAGTCATGCAGAAGGCAGGCATGGGCTGGAGCCACAGGACCTTAGGTAGCTCTAAGAAAACAACTTTTTCCAACAAGATGTGGAACTCAGTGGAGGGGTTTGATCTCTTGCGCCGCCTACTTCCCAATGGATGGTGAATTTTAATATGGTTGTCCTCTGGTCTGGAGCCTAGCACTCTTGTCACTTATTAATCAGTTCCCGCATTGTACTCTTTCCCCCAAGGGGCCTAAAAATACCCTAGTCCCAGGCTTAGAGACACAGAAAGGTTTACTCACAGAGGCAGAGTCTTTGTAAATACATTGGCTGAGTCCAAGTGGTGCAAATTCTACACAATTGCAGTAATCTGCTGTGTGAGGAAGGGGTGGAAAACCTCTTTCAGCATCAGGACCTAACTCATTCCTGGGAAACCTTATGGGGACCACACATCATTGGTGGGCCAGGTGAGAGGCAAAAAAGTGGGCAGGCCCTCAGAGAAAAATGAGCAAAGCCAGCAAGGTGACTTTTACTGTGTACAGTAGAGAAGAACACTTGAGGAGAAGGAAGAGCAGGTCCAGTGAAGAGTAAGGCTTAGAGAGGAGGCATGGCCTGAGAAAGTGCCAAACCCCCAATAGATAGGTGTAGGGGGCCCACATTAAGTTCACAAGCCTGGGATATCTTACATTAGTGTAAGGCTATGTACCCACAGATCCAGAGCCAGCTCAAGACATTTTGGCACCTGAGGTGACACCTGTGGAGAACCACAAAATGATACCTGCCAGTCAGGGAGAAAGGGGCAAATAGAGATGTACATCAGGCGCAAAGTGAGAATAGATAATAAACAAGGATGAGAGGAGACTAACTCGGGTGAACCCTGTGAGGTCTATGTGTTAGAGGGGCCAAATGATGCCCAATGCTGATAATATAGGCATTTCATAAATTTTGTTTATTTATTTTATTCAGTTGCTGAGTTTTCTAATAAGAACTATTCTCTAGACAAAGTGCACAGTACAACAAAGTGATTTAAATAAACGGTGCAGCAACTTGGTGGAACCTTAACGAATCAGTAAAACCAACCCAGCAGAAGATGAAATCCTGCACAGATAAAACCCAACACGGACAAATTAAAGCCTCAGATGGAAAAACCAGGGTTGTATCTATCTAAGTTATACCCAGAGAAAGCGCACTGAAGTTAGTGAACCTACATTAGGCACTCCTATTCATTTCAATGGGTCTACCCTGGTTACAGCCTTTAGAATTTGCAATATTCAAAATGAACAGAGTACAGTTGTATTGCAAGGACAACTGCAACCTAGTACCTTCTTGTGTGTGTTTCTGTGTGTGTCCTACAGGCCCACACGTGACAGCGATGAGGATGAAGATGACGAGAAGAAAGGCAGAGGCTGCACCCTGCAGTACCAGCATGCCATGGTACGAGTCCTCACCCAGTTTGTGACAGAATCATCCGATTTGGGAGGCCAGCTGACCTACATGCTTGGCTCCGAATGGCAGTTTGACATTACGGACCTTGTGGCTGACTTCATGAAGGTGGAAGAATCCAAAGTAGCCAAGTTACAAGATGGCCGGGTTCTGATTGGTCGTGAGCAAGGAATCACAACAGTTCAGGTACAAAGTAAGGCTGAGTGTCAAGGGAAACATTAATGTGGGCTGCACAAGGTTACTGGTAGGTGGATTTGTAGCTCGTTGACAGACAGAACCCAAAGAGTACTCACTAATGGATCCTCATCATTCTGGAGGAAAAAAAGTGATGAGAGGGTTGCCGCAGGGTTCTGTCCTGGGCCCATTGTTGTTCAATGTCTTTATAGATGACTTGGATGAAGGAATTGAGGGGATGCTCAACCAATTTGCAGATGACACCAAACTGGGGGGGGGGATGGCTAATGCCACAGAAGACAGAAATGGGGTTCAAGGTGACCTTAAGAGACTGGAGAACTGGGTCCAAACTAACAAAATGAATCTCAATAGGGACAAATGTCAAATTCTACACTTAGGCAGGGTTTTAGTAGACCACAAGCTTAACTTGAGTCAACAGTGTGATGTGGTAGCAAAAGCAGCTAATGCTATTATAGGCTGCATCAACAGAAGTATAGTGTCCAGATCAAGGGACGCAGTAGTACTGCCCTATTCTGCCTTGGTCAGACCACACTGTGTCCACTTCTGAATGCCAAATTTTAAGAAAGATGTTGATAGGCTAAAAGATGTGCAGAGGAGGGCAACCAAGATGATCAAGGATCTGGAAACCAAGCCTTATGAGGAAAGGCTGAAGGAGTTGCATATGTTTATTTTGGGTAACAGAAGACTGAGATGATATATGATAGTCTCTTCAAACATCTAAAGAGCCATCACATGGAAGATGGAACAAGCTTGTTTTTTCCTGCTCCAGAGGCTGTAACCTGAACCAATGGTTTCAGGTTACAAGGAAGGAGATTCCGGCTAAACATCTGGAATAACTTTCTGACAGTAGGAACTGTTTGACACTGGAACGGACTCCCTCGGGAGGTGGTGGACTCTCCTTTGTTGGAAGTTTTAAGCAGAGGTTGGGTGACCATCTATCATGAGTGCTATCCTTGAAATTCCAGCATTGCAAAGGGTTGGACCAAATGACCCTCAGGGTCCCTTCCAACCCATAAAATTCTATGATTAATAAGAAAGCTGCTTTATCTTGAGGAGACACCAAAGCAGAGGATCAGTCTAGGCATAATGCTACTTAATATTGAGCAGAGACCAAATTGGTCTAGCAAAAGTCATGGTCATAGTTGGTTGCCTACTGTTGGAAAGTGGAAGACAGGTGAGGTGGGATCTTGATTCTATTTCAGCAAGTTAATTCTCATGCCCTATGATAGAGTGGTGTTTTCATGCACCAGTCCCTACAGCGAGGGCCTCAGTCTCACATATTTGCAGAGAGTTGAGGTTGTTGGACTTTATAAAGAGGCGGCCCCCCATATCATCACTAACCTTGGACCATGCTGTCTGGGGCTGATGGGAGTTGAACATTCAGAAGGCACCACAATGGCTTCTCCCACCCTTGTGCATCAGGCGACCAACCTCCAAGGGGGAGCGTTACATTCCATGCCACATTTTAGCATGGGCCTATTTTTAACATTCTTAAAATGTGCATATGCTTGTTCTAAACCAGGCATCCCCAACCTTCGGCCCTCCAGATGTTTTGGACTACAATTCCCATCATCCCTGACCACTGGTCCTTTTAGCTAGGGATCATGGGAGTTGTAGGCCAAAACATATGGAAGGCCACAGGTTGGGGATGCCTGTCCTAAACCATTTTTTTTTTCAAATGTATGAAGCTATACAGTGAATTTACAGTTTTACAGTTCTTTTTACAGTGCCTACAGTGCTTTTTAGTGCTTTACACTGCTTTACAGTGAATCAAGTGATCATTGGGTTCTGTTAGTATGAGTTCCCCAACTTCTTTTCCAACTCTGTTATCCAGTTGCCTTTCAAATGGGGGGTGCTGGAGACTGAGCCTTGGCACTCGGTGCATGTGTAGTTGTGCTCTAATAGTATTAAGAGTTAAACACATATTTGATGTACCCTTCCTTGAGATCACTTGCTCAGCGAAGGGTAGGTTTAAAATGAAATAAATAACTATGCCCCCTGCAACCGCTTGGCTGCTTTCACAGGAATCCACTGTATTTGGCTAGCAGAGCAATCCTATGCATGTCTATGTCTTTTTATATTGCAAACTGCCCTGTGATCCTCAGCTGAAGGGCAGTACAGAAATTTTAAAAATACTTCTACTAATAATAATACTCAAACGTAACCCCTATTAAGTTCAGTTGGGCTTATTCCCAGCTATGTGTGGCTAGAATTGGAACCCAAGCAGGCAAAAGTGGCTAAGAGGGGTCTTCATTTTGAAATACAGTCGTACCTTGTTTTGCGACTGGGATCCATTCCGGAGCCCCGGACGCTAGACGAAAAGGACACATGACAAAGCACTGCTCTGCACACACACTCGGAGCAGTTTGCCAGTACTTCCGGGTTTGCTGCGGACATTCGACAAAATGAACACTCAACGAGGCAGACTCAAAACGAGGTACCACTGTATGGCAAGCAGTCCCTGGGCACTCATGATGGAAAAACTCCAGGATAGTTTAATGTGGGTTGTCATCATCTTTCGTTTCCTTTTGTTTCCCTTAAAGGTCCTCTCACCTCTTTCGGATTCCATTTTGGCCGAGAAGACTGTGATTGTTCTGGAAGACCGGGTCACCATCACAGACCTCGGTGTTCAGCTCGTGGCAGGCTTGTCCCTCTCGCTCCAGACAAGCAAAGGAAACAAGAGGGTGATTGTTTCTACGGCATCGGCTTCTGACATTCTTCATTCACCAAAGCAGGTGGGAGATGCAGTGATGACAAAATTAATGAACATCACAGATTTGCATCGTTTCATCAGCAAATAGGAGACCTAGATAAACCAGATGAGATTAAATGGAGGGTAACCTAAAGGACAAACTAAGGACTAAACATAACTTAACCTAAACATGCATTTGGGGGACCCATAGGTGTATAGCATCTAGATCAAGGGAAGTAATAGTGCCACTGTATTCTGCTCTGGTCAGACCTCACCTGGAGTACTGTGTCCAGTTCTGGGCACCACAGTTCAAGAAGGACACTGACAAACTGGAACGTGTCCAGAGAAGGGCAACCAAAATGGTCAAAGGCCTGGAAACGATGCCTTATGAGGAACGGCTAAGGGAGCTGGGCATGTTTAGCCTGGAGAAGAGGAGGTTAAGGGGTGATATGATAGCCATGTTCAAATATATAAAAGGATGTCATATAGAGGAGGGAGAAAGGTTGTTTTCTGCTGCTCCAGAGAAGCGGACACGGAGCAATGGATCCAAACTACAAGAAAGAAGATTCCACCTAAACATTAGGAAGAACTTCCCGACAGTAAGAGCTGTTCGACAGTGGAATTTGCTGCCAAGGAGTGTGGTGGAGTCTCCTTCTTTGGAGGTCTTTAAGCAGAGGCTTGACAACCATATGTCAGGAGTGCTCTGATGGTGTTTCCTGCTTGGCAGGGGGTTGGACTCGATGGCCCTTGTGGTCTCTTCCAACTCTATGATTCTATGATTCATTTCTTAATCCTTTGCTATATTGTTGCATGATGTTAGTGGTCTTGTGGTTACCCACCTTGGATCAGGCTGTCAGACCCTCCAAGTGTCCCTACTTTCCCGGGACATCCCTGATTTAAAGAAGCTGTTCTGGTTTCTGATTTGATCCTTGACGGTCCCACTTTTCCTTTGGATGTCCCTATTCTCATTGGTGAAATGTTGGAGGGTATGGAGTTATCTGACCCTCGAACTGTCTGAAGGCAATCCTGTATAGGGAAGGTTTTTTTAAAAAAATGTTTTAAGTTTTATTGAGTTTTTATATATGTTGGAAGCTGCCCAGAGTGGCTGGGGCAACCCAGTAAGATGTTGTCGCGAATTCTCTGCGGCACTTTATCAGAAATGCTCAGAGTTCCAGGTTCTTCAGTGCAGTATATTTATTGTGAGCTATATATATATACAAATATCTACAGGCTATAATAAATGAGCAGTTCATACAGTCAAACAGAGTACCTGGCTGCACCTTAAGGCAAACAGGAAGACCTTTCTATCTCTCTCTCTCTCTCTCTGACCACACTCTTCTACACCACACTTTTACTGCTGGACAGGCTTCCCTTTTAAACTGATGACAGCCAATCAACTGTCAGTACATTACTGCTGAGTCTTTCTGACCCAGCACTTCCATAGAAAGTATTGCAGGCTGATTGTATCAGCCAGTTGCATCAGCTAGCACTCAAGCCTGCAGACTTACTATCTACACAGAATTCTGTGAATCCTCACAGATGTGTGGGGTATGAATAGTAACATTATCATTATGGAATGGGACACCCCTATTTTCATCAGAGAAGTGTTGGAGGGTATGGGCTGTGGCCCACTAATGAGTCTCAACTCACTGGCTGAAGGCCAGTGGACTAGATGGGCCAATGGCCTGATCCAGCAGGCCTCTTTGTATGCTTTTGTAACCATGATAGATGATGTGATCCAATGGGTAGTAGGAGAAATTAAAGCTAGAGAGGAATGGGGTGGTCGTGTTGTGAGAGTGCTGTTGCACTGACCTCCTCCTTTGATATTGCCTCCTACCCACTTTCAGTTCTGGCCCCGGCCACCCTTCTATATGGCCCCCAACAGATTTTCCCCGGGGAATATGGTCCTTGAGGACGGTAAAGGTTCCCCACCCCGTACTAAGTTATGGGCCCTCCCTCTCTAAAGATCATAGAGGAAAGGTGAAATACATAAATGTGAATATGAAAAATGGGTGAGTGAAATTATTGGATCATGTTTACTGACACATTAAGCCGAAAGAACAAGGGGGGAGGGAGGGAAATGTTACTCATTTTCATGTAATTATTTCTAGGCTTCACAAAAACAGGGTGGGGGAGGAGCCCAACTCATGCGATTTCACTAAATCAGCTGCATGAGTTTAGGAAACAATATTTTGATGGCTAATTTAAGGCCCAGAGTTCAGATTGATTTCATGATGCAGTCTGAAAACAAATGATCTGACTGGTTATATGTGAAATTGATTCTGAGACATTCTGCTAGGAAGAGAATGTTAAAACTAAGCTTTCATTTTTTAAAAAGTTCACTCATTTCAGATGCATTATTTCCCAGCTTGAATTTTGAAAGCTCATAGCGCTGACGCATTCAGCTAAGTTATACCTAGCGTACACCTACTGGTTGGTTTCCAATGCTAGTCCTATTCAGAACAGACCCACTGAAATGAATGACTAAGGTTCATTAATTTCGCTTCTTAAAAAAGTTATGGCTTCTTTTAAAAAATGATACATTTTTCTATGTTGTAGGAAGCTGTGGTCAGTGCTTGGATTCTGTTCAGCGATGGCACCGTGACACCCTTAGACATCTACGACACGAAAGATTTTTCTCTCGCCATCACATCCCTGGATGAAATGGTGGTGTCCATCCATCAAAACCAGGAGGAAGAGCAGCCTGTGGTGGTGGCGGAAGGTGAAGGTCAAGGGCCACTCATTAAACTAGAAATGGTGATCAGCGAGCCTTGTCAGAAGTCCAAGAGGAAGAGTAGCTTGGCTGTTGGGAAAGGAAGCATCAAAGTCAAGTTTGGCCAGAAGGATTTGGACCACAAAGGGGACACCAATGACATTGAAGACGTTGAGGCTGATTTTAAAAGCCATGGGAGTAATTCTATAGAGAAGTCATTGGAGCAGGAGAGGTCAGGGCAAGATTGGCCCAAACATGGGGCTTCCATTAATCACGAAGAGGCTACTAACCAAAGCACAACTTCCAAGACTCCTGTTCACCCAAAAACTGCTCAGGGTCAGCTCCAAAATGGTCCAACCTCCTTTACAAGCTTCCCCATACAAGTTGACATTCCAGTGCAGAACAGTCCCAGTGACCTCACTTTGGCTTCCAGAGGTCTAACGGACCTTGAGATTGGCATGTATGCCCTTCTGTGTGTTTTCTGTTTAGCCATATTGGTCTTCTTAATTAACTGTGTGGCATTTGCTTGGAAGTACAGGCACAAAAGGTTTGCCGTCAGTGAGCAAGGCAACATTCCACATTCCCATGACTGGGTGTGGCTCGGGAATGAGGTGGAGCTCTTGGAGAACCCAGTGGACATTTCGCTCCCGTCCGAGGAGTGCACAACCATGATAGACAGAGGGATGCAGTTTGAGGAGAGCAATTTCCTCCTCAACGGGAGCTCTCAGAAGAGCCTCCACAGCCAGATCCTTCGGTCTGCTGACTATGGTTGTGAGAACGATATCACAAACGAACCTATCAACCCTCCTGGGCCCAAACGGAAAAGAGTCAAATTCACATCCTATACCACCATCTTGCCGGAGGATGGTGGCCCATACACCAACTCCATCCTCTTTGACAGTGACGATAATATCAAATGGGTATGCCAAGATATGAACTTAGGGGATTCCCAGGAACTTAGAGACTATATGGAAAGGCTGCAAGACAATATGTAAAAAATAATTATTATCTCTCTCTCTAAAGACTTTATCTTTGTATTCACCTTTATGCCTTCTGTTTTATGGATGATGGAGCACTCAAACCCAGCCAGCAATAGAAGAAGGCTCTCCAAAATGTTTGGAGGTCCAGAAATACTAACTTTGCATTGTTTTGATCAGCTGCAAGAGAAAGCTGGCTTGTTATACCCTGTTCCATCAGGTACAAGGGGATGTGAGCCCCTAAACAGCTACCTACAAATCTTGGAGGTATTGCGCACAACCAGCTGTTTTTCATATATCATCTGATACTAGCTAATGCTGATCCAATTGCACCTAGACTCAGAGAAGATGGGTTAGTGTGCCATGTTACGATGAGCCGTTACTATGGAAAAGGAACCATTTTGTGGGTGGGTGGGTTGATGATTTTTCTAGAAAATATTCTTTGTAAAAGCACAGTAGACATTCCTCGCTTTCAGCTGGAATCTAGGGTCCTTTCAAAGGATCAGAATGAATTGACCTAATGTAATCTGTTTATACAAAATACAGACAGATATATCCTCCTAGGCTTTTGTTTTTTAAAAACAAATATTCATCCTTGTGGTTAATTTGTTCAGCTGTATTGTTTATAAAGCTTTCCTGATTTTATGAACTATTTACATATTTTCATTTGACAGGATTCCCTCACCAACCCATAGATGTACCAAAGTGTACTGCATTGTTAGGGCTGCAATGTTTAGTCGATAAATCGAATAGAAACCTTGTAAAAGATGACAGTGAAAAAGTGCCCCCAATAAACTGGGCAGCAGATTATTATTATTATTATTCTGGAGAAAAAATGTAACAGTTTTAAATACAAGTACTTAGAGAAAACATTGCTGATGGGTGCCATTTTTGAAAGGGCACCCCCCTTTTCTCACCCATGGAGCGCATCTCCTAAGTTATAATATGCACAGGCGCCATCTGAAATCAACAACAATGATGATAATACAGCTACTCAAGTACAAATTTATACAGGACTAATTGATTATTCGCTTATTAATTCATTAAAACTCAAACGATTAATCGACTAAAACTTCTTTCGGTCGGGTGACAGCCTTACTTTCTGTGTTAAAAGGGTTTGTTTTGTAGCTGCTTGATATTGTTCCCCAATCCTCCCTCCCTCTTTCTTTCTTTCTTTCTTTCTTTCTTTCTTTCTTTCTTTCTTTCTTTCTTTCTTTCTTTCTTTCATCTCTTTCACTGAAAAATAGAGATCTGTCTTCTTACAGGGAAAATGTACATACAATAATAAAAACCCTGGGGTGGGGGAAAAGAGCTATTCTGGTTTTTGTTTTCATTTTGGAAGGTTTGCAATATCATCATTTCAAAACCCCCAGGTGTGGTTTGAAGGTACACGTTGCACCCACCTTCCTGAAGTTAAGCAGGTCTAGGCTGGGTCTGGATGGGAGACTAGGAACTTGGGAAATCATGGAGGATAACGCTTTAGTGGCTAATAGTCATGATGGCCAGGGCTTCTTTTAGCCAGAGCTCACAGGAGCTCATCTCTGGCACCTCTCAGGTGGGCGCCATTGCAAGAGAAGTAGGGAGAAGTTCATGGTGAGATCCAGCACCTCTTTTTCTAGAAAAATAGCACCGATGATGGCTATGCTCTACCTCTACTGTTAGAGGCTAAAATGCTTTTGAATCCCAGTTGCTGGAAACTACAACAGGGGAGAGGGAGCCACCTTCAGTGGGTTTTCCTTGATTGGAAATGTGTCCTTAAATACTGATTATGCCTCTTGCTTGCCTGGGTTTAGCATAGAGTAAGGACGCGGGTGGCGCTGTGGTCTAGATCACAGAGCCTAGGGCTTGCTGATCAGAAGGTCGGCAGTTCGAATCCCTGTGACCGGGTGAGCTCCCATTGCTCGGTCCCTGCTCCTGCCAACCTATCAGTTCAAAAGCACGTCAAAGTGCAAGTAGATAAATAGGTACCGCTCCGGCAGGAAGGTAAATGGCGTTTCTGTGGGCTGCTCTGGTTCACCAGAAGCAGCTTAGTCATGCTGGTCACATGACCTGGAAGCTGTCTGTGGACAAACACCGGCTCCCTCGGCCTATAGAGCGAGATGAGCACCACAACCCCAGAGTCGTCCGCGACTGGACTTAATGGTCAGGGGTCCCTTTACCTTTAAGGTTACCAGATGTCCCAGTTTCCCGGGGACAGTCCCCGGATTTACAAATCAGTCCCCATACAAAATCCAATGAAGTTTAAAAGTGTCCTCAGATTCATTGAAAAAAATCTAGTAACCTTAGCATAGAGTGGATTGTGTGAGTATATGTAGAAACTAGCCTACTGAACAAAGATTTTAAAAATTAAATCTCCTTGCTTATGCAACTCTTGCATCCAGTCCTATTTGTCATTGGTTTGTGGCTCTTGAAAGGTTGCCCAAGGAAAGTAACCCTGAGGCTTAAAAATTTTCCCCAGCCCTCGTGTAGACCATATTGAACTAGATGGACCAACAGTGGTCTGATTTTGTGTACGTCAGCTTTCTAAACTGGTTTGGGTGCATCAGAATTGGATTTAGTTCAACTAAAGCAAGGAATTGAACACCCCAACTATTTCCCACTCTCTCCTGGTCCCTTTCTGAAGGACTCGTTCATGGATTTTCAAGACAGGTGGGGAATCATTTGGTGTGATTTCAGAATGCTTTGTAAGCAATTAAAAACCCACATTTTAGCCCCCCTCCCATTTTAAGTGTGAAGCTTTGAAATTGTCAAGATCAAAAGACGTCTAATGCCCTTCAATTAAAATTGTGTTTTGCTCTCCTTTCTGAGGAACAAACTTATGAGGTTGGGTTTTCTTTTGGAATGGCTAATTACGTATGCTGCAATCCTATACACAGTTATCTGGGAGGGGAAATTGGGGGCTGGGATGTGACTGAGTCTGCATTAAAGATGAATCCACATTTTTCAAAACAATAGACAAACAAAAACACAGCCATCCCTTGAAATGTGCACATTCTAAATTTTGCAACGCAGTACTCCAGCCAAGTGATATGTTCAGAAAATCATATGCTAAGGCAAAGAGTGCATAAAATGCATATATTTGTGAAAATAACATACAAAAATGTATTGGGGAACAATGGTTTGCAAAACTGTGTATATTAGGGGAAACTGCACAGAAAATAAGTTTGTTAGCAGAAATTCATATGGAATTCCTGGTGAATTTTATTTTAGGCTTTTTTTAAAAATTGCAAATTGCTGCAGAAATGTAAGCTTGGGAAAATGAGAAATGGAGAAATCCAAAATGGACAGAGCCATCTATTCATACCAGGGAACTCACTGGACTCAGCAAGGCTTGTATCCGAATGGACTTGTATAGGCTTGGCACTTTTAAGTAGTTAAAATGATCCCACTTTAAGAATGCTGAAAACCTAGAAATCAGGGGTATTATTATTTTTTACTGCCTCGTGTAACGTAATGCACTGTGAAATGCGGCTTTGATTTCTTGAGGTTCTTCTGTTGAACACCGTAGAACTGCAATGCCATGCCACAAGTCCTATCCCAGGCTTGCATCAAAATGCCATAAGCACGGGGATTATACACGGGCACACACACTCGCAGCATAGTAATGTCATTGTGCGGTTGGTACGTGCTGGGGCCATGCACAGTAAACACGCCTGTCTCCGCACAGCTTCACAGACAGAGCTCAGACCTAACGGAATTCTATAATGCATACAGGAGATGAAGGGGGAATCAAATATTCAGAGTAGCGACGTTTTCAAAAATAAATAAATAAGCGAGCAAGCAAGCAAACGGTGCCTCTACTGTATTCAAAGACACTGCCGTGTGTATCAAATGGCTTATGCTAATTGCTGGATCCTTTAAGCTTGAAAATGCATACGAGAGACAGCATATTTTACCCTGGAAACATTGTACCGAGTTTCTGCCATGCCTCAGTGGATTGCTAAGAGTGTTTCCAGCAGTTCTGGGTTGTTGCTATTGCTATTATTATTAAATTTTGTATATCACTCTTCATCTGCACAAATTGCATAATAAAACAAGAACAAAAATGAACCAATAACCCCCCCCCCGCCATAAACACATTTAAAAGGCCGTAGAATGTTGATCAGCCAAAGGCCTGGTTACAGCAAAAGCATTAGAGAGGAAACCTGAGCCAGTGCCCTGGGATGGACCTTCCCCACCAATGGCCCCAACTGTTGTGGTTGTTATTAAATTTATATACCACATTATTGTCTTATAAGTAGTTTGCAAGTATAAAAGCACTTGCATAATACAATAACACCGACTTAAATCCCACAACCAAACAATGCCATCAAATCATTAAAATAAACTTCCACAATTCAAATAAATCTATCATTCATCCAGCTGCCTGCATGTCCCCACCAGGACTTGGCTGGCAGCATTGGCTGGGCTCAAGAAACCACCCATAATCTCAGTTTCCCTGCAATGCCCCTGAGACACAGCTACCACCACTGTAAGCCTGCAGACCAGGAACAGCAGTCCTGCTACGGTGTTATAGCCCCAGCAACCAATTGAAGATGCTGGATGCTGCTGCCAGATATGAGTTTGGGGGGTCCTGCAATGCTAGCATTTCTCAAAGTTTTTCAGGGGTTCCCCAATGGGGAGATAAAGGTAAAGGTAAAGGTACCCCTGCCCGTATGGGCCAGTCTTGACAGACTCTGGGGTTGTGCGCCCATCTTACTCAAGAGGCCGGGGGCCAGCGCTGTCCGCAGACACTTCCGGGTCACGTGGCCAGCGTGACAAAGCTGCATCTGGCGAGCCAGCACAGCACACGGAAACGCCGTTTACCTTCCTGCCAGTAAGTGGTCCCTATTTATCTACTTGCACCCGGGGGTGCTTTCGAACTGCTAGGTTGGCAGGCGCTAGGACCGAGCAGCGGGAGCGCACCCCGCCGCGGGGATTCGAACCGCCGACCTTTCGTTGTTTTTTTTAAAAAGATATTTATTGAAATTTTCCACTTTAATACATTAAAAAATCAAAAAAGGAAAATCAAAAAAGTTTAAAAACACATAAAGTTTACAATCCTTATTTTTCTATAACCTATTTCCCTGACTTCCCCACACCTCCCCTTCTTATATTCCAATTCAAATTGTTGGTTCAACAAATTCTTATCCCCAATTTTTGACCTTTTTATATTTAGTTCATTTTAAAAAAACCAATTTTACCTTATAAACATCAATATTTATACATCAGTGCTCATTCTTAAAACCTTTTTCTAAAGTCGACCCAAATTCCCTTCCACGAATTCCCCAATTTTCATACTAATAACAAAACAAAGTAAAAACAAAAACAGATTGTAATTATGCACCCTTTGGATTCCCAAACCCCCCCCCGAACCGCCGACCTTTCGATCGGCAAGCCCTAGGCGCTGAGGCTTTTACCCACAGCGCCACCCGCGTACCATAATGGGGAGATAAGTAAGGGCAAAAAAAAAAACAAAACTGAGGTGCATTAGAAGCTTCTAAAAGCCACCTGCAAAAAATTGGCTCATACCTCTGGCAAGAGTGACCTGTTCTACCATCTCAGAACTTTGCCACCTCTTGTAAGTGAGAATGTAGAGTGAGAATCATCAAAGCTTTATTGCATTAGCATACAGCCATAGCAAAATAAGACAATACAAAAAAAAAAAAA